CCAGCCGAGCCAGCAAGCCTTCGCATCAGAATCATAACGTTACTGTTATCAATTAGAATTTCTCTTACAACACATTTGGTTGCGGAACAAGTTTCTACTCTGTTTGAGAAAATTATTCCAGCTTAGCACCAGGACAATTGTATAACTGGTAAAATGTTAATGTCATCAAGCTTTACTCGAGAAATCATACGGAAATAGTCAGTTATACATTTACAATATCTGTTGATTAATTATCCATAAAAGTACATACATTTGAAAGATGAGAGAATACATACCTCACCCAAAAACCATATTGGTCCAAGCTCCAGTTGACCAAAAACGTGCGTTTTCTGGACGAGATCTTATTTGCGGAATGGTACCTGTATGTCCATATCTAATTGTTTCCGCACACAACCAATTTTACAGAAGGAATAGAACCACTGTTTGTAGCGTCCAGAAAATAATTAAAAAGGTGATATAACATGAAAATTGTTTGCAAAGGCTAAATAATAGCCCAGTTGATGTTATAAAAATGTATAAAAAATATGATGAGTGGGCAATAGTTTTCCCTCTAATCATTAATTTTATAGTCTCCCATAGCAATTTGTCACTTATTGAAAAGATAATAAGGATTATATCTTCCTCTTCAGGATTAGTACCACATATATATTTATAACATCTTCAATACATTTTTTGACAAAATCAACAAAATCCAGATCATTTAACAAACTATTATTTGTGACACTGTTACTGACTACCATACGTTATACCTTTAAATCAGGGTTAAAGTTGTATTGTGACACTGTTAGTGACTACCATACTTCATACCATTAAATCAGGGTTAAAGTCGTATTGTGACACTGTTACTGACTACCATACTTCATACCATTAAATCAGGGTTAAAGTCGTACTGTGATACTGTATTCTCTAGAAGTGGAAATAACGGAATGTGAATTTTGAAAAACTGACATTTTGGTCAATCTTGAGCATTTGTCCTCAAAATGTTTCTTCTGCGTATAAATAATAAACATACTGCACTCTGATTAGTTGGACGTTTCTTTATAAAGCTTGATTACTATCTATATTAGTAACAAAATCTGCCAGTTTTTGACCGCTGTTTGGTTTTTAATGGTTTAAGATGAATCATTCATGGACAGAGGGGGTCAATACCAATATTTTTAAAGGTATTTAAGTATATATGACATGTATATTTATATTCCTTCAAGAAAAAAAGTAATACAGTCATTTGTAGTTTTCTGCAGCACAAGGTGTTAAAGATGGACAAGTTTTCTGGTCGCCATTATGATCTCATAGGGAATTATACTATGAATAGATCTCTTTTATTAGGCTCATTAGAGTGCCTTGTGGTTTTGTGACGTCACTCCCGCAGTTCTCGGTTTGAGGACGTGACATTACTTGGAATGACCTAGATTCCAAGGCGGGTAAAATCGATGAAGCAGAACACGCTTACCCTTCCGGAACACATGGTCTCGTTTCCTCGTAATAATAATAATATGCAACATTTATATAGCGCCCTATATAATTTGTAAAATTACTCTAAGGCGCTTTACAACATATGGATAATAGTAATGGTTATAATTGTTTAAACAAACAACAAAGGCTTGCAATCACTTTCATACATTTAACATACAATGTGCACATAATTGAACAAATACAAGGGTGATATTTACATGACGTCTTTGCTAAGATTCTAAAAAGGTGAGTTTTTATGTCCCTCTTGAACTTGGCCAGGGTACAGCCGAATACAGCCGATGATTCTGATCTAGTAGTAACAGGATTTGGCAATAGCGTTCACTTGTTTCTCAATGTTCAAAGAACTGTCAAAGTATACCCCTAGGTTTTTATCAGCTGGAACACTCTCAATAGTTCTGGCACCAACCTTGAGGTGGAGAGCCATTGTTTGCCGACACTTTGGGGGAAAGACGATTAGTTCCGTCTTTTCCTGATTAAGTTTAAGCATGTTGGCGTTCATCCAGATACTGGATTCGTACTAGTTCAAGGCTCTTCTTGTACCTGTTTCGCCTTAGTTTTATCGATATTAAGTTTGAGTGATGGCATTCTATATTCCGTTGTTTTTGTTTTGTTTTGTTTATTTATATTACTTTTTTCCTGTAAATAAGTCGCTGCTCAATGCCTTGTTAAAGTTAAGGTTAAATAAATCGTTGCTCCACGTTTTATTATAGCTAAGTGAAGTGTTGCTCCATGCAAGAATCGCTGCATCTCGCCTTGGTATGTTTAAATTAGTCGTTGCTCCAACCCTTGTTTTCCTCTAGTGAAACACTTGCTCACTGTCTTGTCATTCTTTAGTGAAACAGATGATCATTGCCTTGTTGTACTTGAGTGAAACAGTTGTCTTGTTATATTTAAATCAGACAGTTGATCCATGTCTTGTTATAGTTAATTCAGACAGTTGATCCATGTCTTGTTAAATTTAAATCAGACAGTTGATCCATGTCTTGTTATATTTAAATAAGACAGTTGATCCATGTCTTGTTATATTTAAATAAGACAGTTGATCCATGTCTTGTTATATTTAAATAAGACAGTTGATCCATGTCTTGTTATATTTAAATAAGACAGTTGATCCATGTCTTGTTATATTTAAATAAGACAGTTGATCCATGTCTTGTTATATTTAAATAAGACAGTTGATCCATGTCTTGTTATATTTAAATAAGACAGTTGATCCATGTCTTGTTATATTTAAATCAGACAGTTGATCCATGTCTTGTTATAGTTAATTCAGACAGTTGATCCATGTCTTGTTATAGTTTAATCAGACAGTTGATCCATGTCTTGTTATATTTAATTCAGACAGTTGATCCATGTCTTGTTATAGTTAAATCAGACAGTTGATACATGTCTTGTTATAATTAAATCAGACAGTTGATCCATGTCTTGTTACAGTTAATTTAGACAGTTGATCCATGTCTTGTTATAGTTAATTGATACAGTTGATCCATGTCTTGTTATATTTAAATGAGACAGTTGATCCATGTCTTGTTATAGTTAATTGATACAGTTGATCCATGTCTTGTTATATTTAAATGAGACAGTTGATCCATGTCTTGTTATAGTTAAATCATACAGTTGATCTATGTCTTGTTATATTTAAATCAGACAGTTGATCCATGTCTTGTTACAGTTAATTTAGACAGTTGATCCATGTCTTGTTATAGTTAAATCAGACAGCTGATCCATGTCTTGTTATAGTTAAATCAGACAGTTGATCCATGTCTTGTTACAGTTAATTTAGACAGTTGATCCATGTCTTGTTATAGTTAAATCAGCCAGTTGATCCATGTCTTGTTATAGTTAAATCAGCCAGTTGATCCATGTCTTGTTATAGTTAAATCAGACAGTTGATACATGTCTTGTTATAATTAAATCAGACAGTTGATCAATGTCTTGTTATATTTAAATCAGACAGTTGATACATGTCTTGTTATAATTAAATCAGACAGTTGATCCATGTCTTGTTATATTCAATTCAGACAGTTGATCCATGTCTTGTTATATTTAAATCAGACAGTCGATCCATGTCTTGTTATAGTTAAATTAGACAGTTGATCCATGTCTTGTTTTATTTTAATCAGACAGTTGATCCATGTCTTGTTATAGTTTAATCAGACAGTTGATCCACGTCTTGTTATATTTAATTCAGACAGTTGATCCATGTCTTGTTTTAGTTAAATCAGACAGTTGATCCATGTCTTGTTTTATTTTAATCAGACAGTTGATCCATGTCTTGTTATATTTAAATGAGACAGTTGATCCATGTCTTGTTATAGTTAATTCAGACAGCTGATCCATGTCTTGTTATAGTTAAATCAGACAGTTGATCAATGTCTTGTTTTATTTTAATCAGACAGTTGATCCATGTCTTGTTATATTCAATTCAGACAGTTGATCCATGTCTTGTTATAGTTAATTGATACAGTTGATCCATGTCTTGTTATATTTAAATGAGACAGTTGATCCATGTCTTGTTATAGTTAATTCAGAAATCAGACGGTTTATCCATGTCTTGTTATAGTTAAATCAGACAGCTGATCCATGTCTTGTTATAGTTAAATCAGACAGCTGATCCATGTCTTGTTATAGTTAAATCAGACAGTTGATACATGTCTTGTTATAATTAAATCAGACAGTTGATCCATGTCTTGTTATATTTAATTCAGACAGTTGATCCATGTCTTGTTATAGTTAAATCATACAGTTGATCTATGTCTTGTTATATTTAAATCAGACAGTTGAGCCATGTCTTGTTATAGTTAAATCAGACAGTTGATACATGTCTTGTTATAATTAAATCAGACAGTTGATCAATGTCTTGTTATATTTAAATCAGACAGTTGATACATGTCTTGTTATAATTAAATCAGACAGTTGATCCATGTCTTGTTACAGTTAATTTAGACAGTTGATCCATGTCTTGTTATAGTTAATTCAGACAGCTGATCCATGTCTTGTTATAGTTAAATCAGACAGCTGATCCATGTCTTGTTATAGTTAAATCAGACAGCTGATCCATGTCTTGTTATAGTTAAATCAGACAGCTGATCCATGTCTTGTTATAGTTAAATCAGACAGTTGATCAATGTCTTGTTTTATTTTAATCAGACAGTTGATCCATGTCTTGTTATATTCAATTCAGACAGTTGATCCATGTCTTGTTATAGTTAAATCAGACAGTTGATCCATGTCTTGTTATAGTTTAACAGGATGGTTGTTCCGCTTCTTGTCATTATTAATACATCGTTGCTCCAGACTTTTAAATTAGCTTCACACTTGTTGCCGTTTTTATTCTTACGAGTTACTTTACAGAACATATTCAAGATACTAACATATACCTGATGACGCGTTTAAATCATCAGTCCATAAATACTGGCCGTATTGCGATACATGTATACAGTAGCAGTGCTGCATGTTAAACGTATCATAGCAAGACAAACATGAGAGGTCATCACATATGCTCATAGATAAGAACTTAGTAACGTCATAGAACCAAATAGATAAGAATTCCGAAGTCTTCTCTCGCAGACATCTGTAGATCCAACACTGCTAATAGCTCAGTCCTAGCCATGAAGATTCTGTTTGGTATCGTTCTCATTGCTCTAGTCGCATTATGTCAGGTAAGATTAATTTTTTTTCAAATTCCTTTTCTCAAATACGTGTTTAAGTCAATACGTCTTGTATAAAAGTTGAAAACATATAAACAGGTCATGTACTAGGTAAAAGGTGAACGTGAAGTCTGGACAATCTGCCAGAACAGAAATAAGGTGGAGCTTTAACAGATGTGGGAAGTAAAACTGTTCAGGACAAAATGCAACGTTCGAATTTGAACCGATATTACTGATTTAGGCAACAAAACATGTCAGCGATATCATTACCATTCCTCAGCACTGATCACCTACTTCATCATGAGCGTATGCCAATATTTAAACGTTAGAAACCAAGGGATCCACTACCGTTACAACCGTTTGTAAGAGATTCACTACAAAATGGATTATCGACTTGGTTTATATAGAAAGTAACATAAATGACCAATAGGTATATCCCTTAGAAGAGTACTCATATTCATTTTATGTTCAGCAATGGATAGGCCTACATATGGTCACGTAGAACTTTTGTTTCTCGGTTTTATAATATTTAATTTTAGTATTTGTAAATTCGAGCAACTGTTATTCAGTAAAATGCATGACATGATGTGTTATATATAGATGATCACTCAAACTTTTATAAGGCATGACGATGGTTATTACAAACCCTAGCTTGATCGTGCTGCTCTTTATGTTAAAGGCGTTTTTACTGGACAAAAGCGAGTGTACGTCCAACAGTGACTGTCAGGCTTCTCAGTGTTGTGTGTCCGACTTCCACGGTCATTACTGCGCTTACTACCAGAACAGCACTGACCCATGTCATCGCCCTGGACACCATGCGTATGTCTACAAGTGTGGCTGTGCCCCAGGTACTCGTCATTAGAACTACTTACGATAGAAATTTCCATTTCTAAATAATTCCTCTTAATAACAACATTATTTGTTCATGGATGGTCGTATACACTTTGTTGACTATAGTTGACGCTTTATAAAAACACGCATTGTTTGCATTGAACAAAATTTAGCTGAAACCGTTGTCGTATTCACCTAAAACTTAACTTATTGGGGGGGGGGGGGGGGGGGGGGGTTGCATGTCAATATTTTTGTTGTTCATATTCTGCTCTAGTTTTAAGAATTTTGACTCCCAAATTTTTAGTGAATTGAAACATAAAAAAAGAGAAACTTATGAACTAATGACAAATATATATAATTATGTAATAAGTAATTTTCCCTTCCCTTATACAGGTTTCGAATCAGTCATTTCATAACGTAAAAAAATGACGTCGCCGTTTGTAACGTCGCTTTTGATTGGCTGATACAGCAGCGCAATAATTTCTAAGAGAAAAGAGTTCATCAATAAAAGTGGATTTTCACAGGGATTGTGTAAAGTAGATTAAATTATAAGGATTAACTTGAATATATTTTTCATGTTATGGAGCTTTAACACACAAAAAACGGAGTGTACTCGCATCGCGGTTTTTAAAGAGTACACTCCGGTTTTTTTGTGTTATATCTCCATAACATGAAAAATATATTCAACTTAATAAAGTTAATTCATTTTTGATGATTGGTGATTTTTCCTTGGAAAAGAAAGTGTTACAAGTTCTTTATGATAATATTGAAGCCATACTTAAACATTTTTTTATTAAATTTGATATACAATAGTGTAGCTATTATTATGTATACCTCTCATTCTAGGTCTGATGTGTGAACACATCCATCTTGATCACGGTACCGCCTCCCCGTCCTCTGACCCAATCACGTCTATAGAAGGTGCTATAGAGAACGCTGGTCTGGGTTTCTGTTCCTCCTCGTCACCTTAAGTCTGCAGTCTTAAAACATAAACTTATGTGTTATAGAATACATGCTGTATTTCATTAAAATCGTACTGAAATTTCGTATTTTCATCGTGGTTATATCAGTTTAATAAACGCGTCATTAGTGACGTCACTGACACACGTCATTAGTGACATCACCGACACATGATCTTGTTGTAATCCCGACATTAGTGACGTCATTGATACATGTCATGGGTTTCCGAAATTCGAATCATTTTGTATTTTGAATTTACTTTTTCCGTCTTAATAAATATGAATGTGTGTACTACGAAGACTTCATTTTCTGTATTTTATGTGACACAATATGGGCCTTATTGAACAAAATGTCGTTCGCCTATTGTACTTTTGATTTATCCAAACACTATGACATAACACGTATCAAATATTACCTATAGCAGAACTGTTTTATTTGTTATGGAATACAATTCTTACTAATCGTTATGAACAATGAACATTTAATATTACTTATATGAAAAACTGTCTGTTTGTGGACGAACAAGACCAATGTAAAAATCCGTAAATAACAAGAAGCGGGGTTTAATTCTGACATTAAAGTAATTGCCTCCGTTTTGTAAAGTGGAAACAAATCATATTTGACAAAGCTTGAACAAATGTGAATAATAACATATGAAACATTCTCGTTACTTATTCAACGTCACTTATATAACATAGTGGATATTGTCCCGAATGTTTAGGAACATAATCTGCCTTTCCATGTTACATAGGAACCACGGGAACTGGAGCATGACCTCTGCCTTTCCTTAAGTAGTTAGCAAACACAAGACCTGCAGCCATTTACCTTCATATATATAGGGGACTGTAACATATGTATTAAATATCAAGAAAATTATTGTTAAGTCAAACGCAATTCATATACCAAGTACTGATGTCCGTTGTGTTCTTACTCATCTTGACAACAGCAAAGTTGTTGGATAAAATTTTACTAGTCCAAACATACTGAAAAAACAGCCATTCCTCTCACCGAACCGTTAACGTCTAATTTCAATAAATCACCACACTGTCGAGACTTCTTAAACAGGAGGTTGATTGATCGCCATATTTGTCTGTTAACGATACAGTCGCCAGCTCTCTGAAAATGAGATTTTGGGAGACTTACTTGCTGGTTATCTTATCGTAGTTTCTTTTCTTGTTGTGTCTATTTAAGCATTAAACAGCATTCTGTTCCGTGTATTAGGACCAAACCACGGAACAGAATGCAATTCTATGCTTATATTTATATTTTCGTTATTTTTATATTTTCATTTTTAAGTTCACAACATACTTTTAAATTAGAATTTCGTGGTGTTTGTTAAAGAGGATTTTTTGCTTTTCTGCTTCCTAGTGCGGAGGGGAATAGCAATCCGGTAGTTATTAGGACCCGCGAAGATATCACTACGCCTGTGTTATGGTCTCATAACACGAAACTGGCCTTTGTAGTGTTATAAAGTGGCAATACATTGGCAACACATATATTTTGATGTCTTTTCGTATTTCCCCCTGTGTGTAAAGACATGGTCTATTTTGGGAAAAGATGGGTTCGGTTACGGGTGATGTGAATGGCGTAAAAGATATTCTAAAAGGCATATTTACCAAAAGGTGAAATGATGTTATCAATGTACCAAAACTTCAGCGAGTCTTACAGTTACAGACTTGCTTTAAAAAACATTATTAGCCTAGGCGCAACGTTCTAGTAGTCAGTATGTGCTACTCATTATTAAATGACGTTTTACATATGTAAATTGTACCACAATTGATATCTGCTGTTGATGTTTCCGGCAACGATGCATGTGACTGTAATTATGAAACAGCAGATAACATTCTTTTTATAACTTATATGACAATTTAAGTAGATCTCGCCATCAATGGATGTCTAGTAGCTACCACCTGATTTGTGTAGGTGTTTGATTTTCTATTTTATATTACAGATTAGAGTTAAACCTTCCGGAACATTTTATGATTTGCGCTTTTATTACAACAGGATGTTGCAATAGATAGCTATATTTTTAGTGTAATGACTTCCTCTGCCGCTCAAAATACCTTGTCAACTGAAATCTATTGATCAAGCCGGGGGCCCATCCGGGGCACTGACAAGTACAGGTGGGAATTGGATGTTACTATATTTCCAAGTGTTTACCTGTTTAACTGTAAAATCATTAAAAATATCCTGAAGTGCGATGGTTCAAAAATATGTGTCACTTTGTATTTTTTTTTTTAATAAGCAAAATGGTTCAAAAGCGGGATTCAATCACAGGAATCAGATAAGATGTTTAAATTTTCTTTCGGTTTGTTTACTAGACATCTTTCACAAATTACACCAAAGAACTAAATACAACGACACACTCAGCTGTGCCTGGTAGTGTTCCAAAACCAAAATAAACATTTTTTTATAATAAATATAATTAAATTAATGTATTAAAGTATCAATCTATAGCTTCCCTTGCGTAGGCTCCCCTTAGAGGGACCTCACCAGTAGGGAATAGCCTAAGCTAGACAGTACTATTTTGTGTTTTACATTTTATCCTCTTTCCTTCGCTAGGATTAAGACACATTACACAGTTGTAAGCCTTAACCGCATTGTTGTATGGCTGTAACAGTATCACGACTAGTCGGTCAGCACCCATGTCACGGTGTGGTATAGGCTTTAACTTGTTATAACTATAGTGTTCATCAACTGATGTCTTACAATAATAATGTAAAGAAAGTGTGCATAAACTGCATAAATCGGAAACAGGTACAACATGCCATCGTTTAAATCCATCTAAGTAATGAAAGCTGCCTTATATTTGAAAACACGCGGACATATATAAAAATTATGGATCATCATTAAAGTATTGTGGGACTGGACGTACGATTCAGTATATTGTCACTTTAAGTTTTTATTTCCGTACCATTAAATGACAAAGCCAACGAGCAAATGTAAAATCGAAAACAAGTAGATATAAAATAGCCATATTTATTTGTTTAACGTCCTATTAACAGCTAGGTCATTTAAGGACGTGTCTCCATGCGTGAAGTGTATGCGTACTTGCGTGTGTATGCAGGAGACAGGGTATGTTGGCGTGCTTGCCTCCTTGTGATAGCGCGGATCTGATGCCGACTTTATAGTGTTATCTCACTGAAATGCCATGCCGAAGGCGAACGTTCAACATTCAAGCCAAAAGGGGGTGTTGCCACGCACGGCGCTAGGAAATAAAAGGTAGTTAGAAGTAGAAAGACAGATATAGATCTCAAATATTGCACTGAGCGCAGCAGATTTATTTTGGTCGCTTTTGTGTCCACAAATAGAGAACACAAAAGCAAGCCCCCAATTCTGCAGGGTTTCTCTCATTAGTCGCCTCCTACGATGTATGCAGTGTGTAATAACTTCAAAGTCCTTTCTTTGGATCATGCTCAGTGGCTTGTTTATTCATGGTGATGGCTCCTTACAACATGTGCGCGATCCCATAATACCCTAGTAGAGGAAGGGAGGAAAAGTCCCTCGATACTGAACTATGAATAAGCACTCTTCATAAGTACAATAAAGAATTATTATTCATTCAAGAAAAACAATAACGCAAGCACTTTCAACATTTAACTCGAAATATTTTTCAGAACATAGTCTTTGAATCTTTCCGGTTGTTTCATTTCACGAACTGGTCGAGTAGCTATAGGGACTATTGGTTGGTTTGTCCTTTGTCCTCTCACCTGAAGACTGACCTGTCAAACATCTCCCTGACTCTGATGTTTTTGACTGACTCAGAGTGATCTGTGTTGGTGGATTAGTTGTACCACTATGACTTCCGGTGTCACAGGGAATATCCTGTGCAGTTGATGATAAATCTGTGGACTCGAGCTCTACTGAAATATCTTCCAGAGATTTTCCCTCGGATGACTCGGCTGAATACCTCACCCGGACATGGTCAATGTGGCGTTTGATCACACGACCATCAGTTAACTATATCATACATGTATATGGCACTGGACCCGTTCGCGATACGATGGTTCCTTCCAAACATTTTTTCCCACTTGCGAAGTTTTTCACAAACACGTTATCCGATGGTAGGAACTGCCTTTCACTTGCATGTCGGTCATGATAGTCCTTTTGAATCTCCTGCTTTTTACCACTTTGCTCGTCAAACTAGGCTTGACAAGATCCAGTTTCGATCTTACACGACGTCCCATCAGTAACTCGCATGGTGCTATACCTGTTGCTGTTTTGGGCGTGATACGGTATGATAACAGGAAACGTGCTAACTTCTGTTCCAGTGTTCCCTCTGTTTGTTTTCGTAAACCGTCTTTCAGTAACTGCACGGCTCTCTCCGCCATACCATTTGAAGCTGGGTGAAATGGAGCACTGCCTATATGTCGAAATCCATTTTCGATCATGAATGTAGCAAACACCTGACTTGTGAAACATGCACCATTGTCACTCACAACTGTTTCGGGCAAGCCATGTTTCGCGAACGCGAAACGAAGTTTTTTTTCAATCGTCGATGTAGATGTCGATGTGTTCATGGGAAACACCTCTAGCCATTTAGAGTACGAGTCTATAAGCACCAGAAACATTTTCCCCATAAATGGCCCGGCATATATGGATCCTGGAGGAGGTTTCCTGTTGAACTGACACAGCTCACAACTTGTTATCTCCCTCTCAATGTCGTTATCTATGGAGGGCCACCAGACATACCCTCTGGCTAGACTTTTCAGGCGATTTGTCCCTTGATGCCCTTCATGCAAAGTGTATAGAATCTGTGCTTGTCCCTTGAGGGGAATAATGACCCGACTATCGCAAGCAGACATCCGTCCTCCACACTCAACTCAGTCCGGATGCTGTAGTATGGTTATCTGGGTATCAGTGTTCTTTGGGGGCCATCCAGATTTTACGTAGCTCGTGACCTTGGCAAGCAGTGGATCCTGCTGAGTCCATGACTTAACTGTTCCACTTTTACTGGTGAGTCCTCTAGCTGTTGCAGTACCATTTTAATATCTCCTGAAATTGGAGGTTTACTTGGTTTCTCCTGTTGGTACTAGCATCTCACTTATAGCTTTAACCTTTCCTAAGCTAAGAATACGCACTTAGACCGTTTCAGCCTAATTCCAGCTTGTGTAACTCTCCTCAAAACTTCACTGAAGTGTTCATCCCGATCACTTCCTGTGATAAGTAAGTCATCTACTCTAACCACATGCTGTAGGCCTTGAAGAAGATTTTCCATTGTCCTTTGGAAAATGCCTGGAGCAGAGGAAACTCCAAATGGGAGTCGGTTGTACCTATATAATCCTTTGT